TTGGTGGGCAGGGTTAGGATCCCCCCACATGACAGCTTTTTTGTACGGCAGCAGCAGCAGCAGTGTTGCCCCAGATATAATATACAGCTCCCCCCCCCCCCCCCGGGCTTCCTGCGCTTTTTGTGACGAGTATACGTGGCGTTACTCTTCGTGTGCCCCCCCCCCACAGCTCACACATGAAAGTCAGCGGAGGACTGCTGTTTGCGCAACGAAGTACCCTTCTCTCAGGCAACACACCCTGAATTCTTGAGGGGCTGCAGGTGAGCCCTACAGAGTACACGCGACATTTGGAACGTTCTAAGCCCTTGTTCCTTTGTTCCCTCCTCCGTCAACGTAAAGAATCATCTGCTGCTGCGGTTGCCTCCCAAAAACAGTTCTAGATTGAAGCAACGCCGGTCGCATGACACCGCGAAGCATTATCGTGGGCCATAACAATAACAGCGCCCCGTCGCTACCCACAAGTTCCCTGTAACCTGCAGCACACCAGCGCGTTTTTGTTCAAACAGGCAGGTAAGAGCTGTACTGCTTATTTTTGGAGGTCTCATTGACGCGCGCCGATTTTTCCCCGGGCTGTGGTGTCTCGGTCTCGCTACCTTTTTTTCCCCTGCTCCTCGTTGCGGCGGGACAATACCAGTTAGTTTACTAATCGAGATTCGCTTGCTGCTTTGAGATGATTCCAGGCCGTCTCCTAGCTAGGCCTAGGTGCAACGCAGCCCTCTGTCGGGGTAATCAGATCCCAGGTGTCGCTGCGGCAGGTCTATGTGTCGCCGTGTCGACCAACGGATATTACTCATGGCGAGCTTGTTTTTCATCGACAAATACAGATGTAAATACGAAAAACTGGATGTCGCACTGAGTCCACAGCAGCAGTAGCTGCTGTTATACGTACATGTGTGCATACTGCTGCCGCACAAATGGTACATGTGCATAGAATGCAAGCGTTCGACCTTGGTTTTTCCGATCGCTGTCGCTGTTGTTCCTCTCGCCCTACAGCAGTAGTCACCACGCAGCGGCAGTACAGTACGACCAAGGAGCCGACAAGCGAGATTGTGGGATGTCTGTCTGTTTTTCCCAATAATACTCAAAATGTAGGTGTTGAGGATAAAGGAATAATAACAACACACACAGAAAGACTATTTCCTGCTGTATGTCACCTCTCACTTCTTACCCGTGTGGGTGACGTGTCTGCTGTTCCCTCCTGCAGGACAGTCAAGCAATACATCCACGGGTGGGTACCTTGCGCTGCTGACGACGTCAAGGTCAAAACTTCATTTTGCCCGCCGGAGAAAATATTGACATTTCCATCGCCGCCACTGGTTGTGTGCAAGTGCATCATCTTCGTGCACTGCGCCCTTGGGGTCTTGCACATGAACATGACCCATGGGTTGCGGTGCCAATCGTCCAACTCTACATCCATTGTGCTTGAATGGCATGAGAGAGCTCCGCGGTACTTGGTGGAGTGCAGGCGAGCGAGCGAGGTGGGCGTCAGTCACGCTTAAATTCATTTCAAGGTTACAGCAGTCAGTATGCATGTGCCTATTTAGGTACCTGTGTCGGTAACGCTTGTTGTCTACAATAGGCGGACACAGGCGGGACGACGGTAAATTTCATGTCAAGAGGCGGAAGGCGTTTTTTTTTTTTTTTTCTTAATATGACACCACGAGCGGTTTTGCGTTATTCGGCGGTAATTACTTTTGGTGGAGGCGGTGCAACCAACATGTGCCGGTTGACGGTACAATATTTTTTTGCGTTTTGCAGCGAAACCGCTTCATTCAGTGGATGTGGCAAAAAAAATGTTTATCGCGGGTTTCCCGGGACCGCCCACCAGGTTAGGGCTACTAGGGTAATCAATCATCGTCGGGAAGTTGCCGACGCCCATGGTTTTAACGTTTTGCAGGGCGTTCATATTGCAGGGTCATCGACAAGGATTCCAGGGCAGAAAAGACGTTGTACCCAGTCCCTAAAACACACAGCAGTATATAGTGGTAATGGCGTGTAACATTCGTGGGTTGTAGAAGAGCACCAGAGCTCCTCTGTAGTAGAAGTATTCCACAACATGCTGCTGGGTCTTAGCCGTGGCGTAGTATGTAGTGTTTCCCCCCGATTGTCCACTAAATTTATCGCCGTATTGTTTTTTTCTCAACGCCAGGAATGGGGAGGGCGAGGTTGT